AACTTTAAGGGTGATGGACTGATTACATCGTCTTCAAGTATCTTCTGCTTCTATCAACTTTTCTGTACTCGACTGAAGAAGCCTACTGTGTAGGCGAAACGTTTCGAAATAAAGATACCGAACTGTTGCATATGTGTCTTACCTAACATACCAAGCTTATATGACATTTTCCTTATCTGTTCTATTCATTTCATTACATGAACTCAAATTAAGTTATAATAAAAACTGTCGATGAATAAACCCAAGGGTGGACGAGGAGGCTCAAAAACCGCGGTCCGTAAATTGACAGTCAGACGCTCTACCGTCTAGTATTTCCTCCGGCCCTTTCCTATAGAGGCCGCGTTACCCCTAACGGAGAGCGCGAAACTGTCAATTTACGGACCGCGGTTAGAGCCATTTGTCCACTCTTCTGTTTATTAAATGCAAACTTGACTATATTTGTGTTCATTAGTTTCCGACTCCTGACTGTCTTGCCAACGGGGTTTCACTACAATTATAAAACGCAAAATTAACACCCTCCTCCAAGACATGTGGGTAAAAGAATGAAAGTTTTTCTTTTCCGGGGGCCCCCCTGCCTTGGTGGGAACAGCCAGTTTAAAAAAATAAAAATAATAATAATTTCAGACTAGACTTTTTTGGCTTTATGAATGGGGAATATTCGGACCCAAATAAGTGAGTCAATTTTCTGTACGGAAGAATAACAACAAACATTTAAAAAAACACCATAGTTTTAAAATCACATGGGTTTACCCCACATGTAAATTAAAAATCACAGTGGGTTTACCTCACATGTAAGTTAAACTCACACGGGGTTTCCCCACTGAAGTTAAAAAACACGTGGGTTTACTACATGTAAGTTAAAACCCCACGTGGGTTTACCTCCTGAAAATTAAACTCACACGTGGGTTTACCTCACATGTAAATTAAACTCACACTGGGTTTACCCCCACAGAATTTAAACTCACCGTGGGTTTACCCCACATGTAAGTTAAACTCCCTGGGGGTTTTCCCACATGTAAGGTTTTTAAATCCACGTGGGTTTACCCCACAGTAAATTAAACTCACACGTGGGTTTTCCTCAATGTAAGTTAAAACCCCAGGGGTTTACCTCACATGTAAGTTAAACTCCACTGGGTTTACCTAATGTAATTTTAAAATCGCATGTGGTTTACTCCAAAATTTCTCTCAATGAATGGTTTTTTTTTCTGTCTGCTTGTCATTACCTTTGGAAATCGATATACCCTGAGTATCTCCCCCAGCTGAAAGTAGACATTAGCATTGACTTTTACAAGGTCCCCCGCTCCTCCCCCCCCCCCCTCCCCTCCCCCCCCCCCTCTCTCTCTCCTGGAAAATGACTCATATCATTGCAAATTTCTTTAAAAGTTTTTAAAAGACTCGGAGGTGTTTTAATGAGTTAATGTGTTTGTGTGTGTGTTTGTGTGTGTTTGTGTGTGTGTTTCTGTGTGTTTTTGGGGGTTGTTTGTGTGTGTGTGTGTTTGTGTGTGTGTGTGTGTTTTTGTGTGTGTGTGTGTTTGTGGTTTTTGTGTGTTTTTGGTGTGTGTGTTTCTGTGTGTGTTTTTTGGTGTTTGTGTGGTGTGTGTTTTTGTGTGTGTGTGTGTTTGTTGTGTGTGTGTGTTTGGTGTTTTTGTGTGTTTTGTGTGTGTTTGTGTTTTTTTTGGTGTGTGTTTGTGTGGGTTTTTTGTGTGTTTGTGTGTGTTTGTGGTGTTTGTGTGTGTTTGTGTGTGTTTTCTGGTGGTTTGTGTGGTTTTGTGGTGTGTGTTTGTGTGTGTGTTGTGTTTTTGTGTGTTTGTGTTTTTGGTTGTGTGTGTTTGTGTGTGTGTGTGTGTGTGTGGGTTTGTGTGTGTGTGTGTGTTTGTGTGTGTGTGGTGTGTTGTGTGTTTGGTGTGTTTGCGTGGGTGTGTTTTTGTTGTGTGTGTTTGTGTGTGTTTGTGTTGTGTTTGTGTGTGTTTTTTGTGTGTGTTTGTGTGTGTTTGTGTGTTTGTGTGTGTGTTTGTGTGTGTGTTTTGTGTTTTGGTGTGTGTTGGTGTGTTTTTTTGTGTGCGGTGTTTTGTGGTGTTTGTACTCACCTATTTGTCCCCCTTTTTTGGGGTTGCGGGGGGCGATTCACACTCCGGGCCCCCCCTCTTCGTATTGCACTAGGTCCCTCTTCCCTCCCCCATGGCTCTATAACCTCGCCTTAAAAAAAGTATGGTTCCGCCCCCCACCACTCCTTTCAGGCTATTCCATGGCCTGTACTCTATGCTGAAGAAAAATTCCAACATCCCTTTGATTCATTGGTCTTTAATTAATTGTACCTCTTGTGTCGTGTCCCATCTCGGAACATCCCGTCTTCGTCCACCTCGTCTATTTGCGCAGTTTTTTATTCGTTATCAATTTCCCCCGACCCCCCTGGCCCCCAGTGTCGTCAGGCGATTTCCCAACCCTTCTTCATAGGGGAAACCCCCTAGCTCTGGGACTTGTCTTGTTGCAAACCTTTGCACTTTTCTCTAATTTCTTGCGTGCTTTACTAGGGGGGATTCCAAACTGGTGCTGCATACTCCCTATGGGCCCCGCGTAGTGGGTACGAGTCTTTAAAAGAATCCTTACGAGGTACGGAACGCTATCCGTAGGTTTCAGGGGCCCGTTGCGCAAGTTATCGATTGATGTCGCCCCCAGGAGTATGTCGGTGTTTACTCACCCCCCGATCTTTTTCCTTGAGTGAGGTTTTCGTCTTTGGCCCTCTAAATAATTTTGTTGCGGTCTTTTTTTTCCCTTCCCCCGTCTTTATGACTTTGCATTTGGCAGGGTTTAAATTCAAGGGCCTTTCAGGCACC